TTCCAATGATTTTCTGCATAAAGGAATCACTTGGCCGTTGCATAATGGGTGATTCAATTTCATTTTAATTTTTCCTAGTTGTTGAGCAGATTGCATGGTATAGAAATGCCTCTGGCCACACAACCAGAGAAAGAATAAAATCATGGTCGAGGGAAGAAATAAGCTAAGTAAAGTGTCTGTAATGTTTTCTGGAAAGACATGTTTAAATCCCAGCAATTATGGGCTTATGTATATAACCTATTGTTATCTTTAAATTAACAATAAAGAATGAAAAGGCATTATTAAAAACATTTGAGATTCCTTTAAAGAAAAATCTCTTTGGATAGATTTTCCCCAAATTATTTTAAGATACTTTTTAACTTTATTGTTCAAGAAATGAACCCTATTTGACACACAATTACATTTATATCAGAAAGAACTAAATCTCAGACAGAGGAAGATCTCCTACTGAATCCACAGATTAAACAGCTAGGAAGCATCTGGTAGATAACACATTTTTGTCTCAGTACTTGGAGTATCTGCAGCATCTGCAGACAGCAGTGACTAGTGGAGTAAAATCTGCAGGGACTCCTATAGCTTTACTTAAACTTGAATTTAGTTCAAAATTTGCTCTGGAAAATTACGCATAAATTTTTAGAAGCTGTCAATTCTGATTCAGGATGTAGAATCAGTTTTATGATAATACCTATATACTTTTATTTTCTAGAAAAGGTTGAGTTTTTAAAAACTTAGGTTCTAAGGAAAGTTTCCATAAATCCTATATTTGAATTAAACACTACATTTTTTTCAGTGGTTCTAATTTTTACTTTATGATCTTGCATTGTAAGCCATCTGGCAGGTCCTGATACATCCAATTCTTATAAATGATGGTACACACGTGCTTCTATCCGTGATTTTTATTTTTAGCGTTCACAACCTAGTTCTATTTTTTGCTAACTAAAGGGTTGTTAAGAAGGGGAAATTGAGGGAGGACAGAAGAGCAGGCAGCTGGAGAAGGTAAGCAGAGATTGTACAAAGCGTGGGGAGCAGGTGATGCATACAGGTGTAGGTGTGATGCTATTTTGAGTAAAATGAAATATGCACTTCATATAGTTAATAGAAAATGGAGCAGAACTATTTTGATGACACTGCTTACTGTCTTCTGCATGCCCTTGTGTTCAGGAAAGGCAATCTAAAATAACCAGTAAAGAAAGCATGGCAGCTTAACCGGCAAAACTGGCATTGTCAATAAAAATACAATTGTGTAAAATGAAATACCAGCACTTGAACTATTATTTCTTTGCTCCCTTCCCTTTGGAAAACAACCAATAGTTCTGAAACAAGCAGTAATTTGCCTTCTTTTCAATACCATTGGTGGATTCAGTAAAATGGGATCCATTCCCATCAGGTCCGCAAATTTTCCTTGGCAAGAATCTTGCTTAGAGTTGTAGAAGACTTGAAAGGAGCCGACTCTCTGGACCATTTTAAGTTGTGTTTCAGGTTGAGTGATAGTATCGTGAGAGCATTAATCACACTGATTAATGATCTTTGCAGGGTTCGAAGTGGAAGAAGTGCATTCATTCTGGCCCTTTTGATCTCCCACTGTCTTTCTGGTTTTCTGATCATGGTATCCTTCTGGACCAGATTAAGGAGTTGGGACAGTATGGGGAGACCGTTAGTGATCCTCCTCTCTTCTTCAATTTTGGCTTCAGTCACTGGTGTGGGTAAGGTCCTACTCTAGATACTCTGCAAAGCAGGATGACTCAGAGCTCAGCTTTTTCCCTATTCCTATTTAACATCTATATAAAACCATTGGATGATGCTATTCATAAGCATGTGTTTAAATGTCATTAGTATCTCTGTCATGAACCAAGCAAGAAATACCATCAAAAACTTTTTCCTGTGTCTGAAAGCTGTAAGAATCTGGATCCTAACCTGAACAAGACTTAGTGGCTGTAGTTTTAGAAACTACCCTGGATCTGATGACTCTTCATTTTTAGTTCTGGATGGCAGTACTTAAGAGTTACTTAGAGAGAACTCATTGCAATTTGGAGTACTCGCAGCTCCTACTTGAGAAGCAGAAGGTAACTGTGACCAGGAGGACATCTGCCCCAATCTATATTGTACACCAATTGTGCCCATTCCTGAAATCGGGAGGCTCTGCTCCTGGTCATTCATGTCTTAGTCATATCCTGATTGAGCTATTGTGATAATACTCTTTCTCTGCTTCTAAAGGGCCCAAGCTACTCATAACAAAACAGTTAAAATAAAGACAACCAGAAATAATTTGTTCTGGATTTCGATTATGTGAATAAACTCTAGAATTTAAGATCTTGCCATGTACATACAGCAGGCTAACTATCACAGCAGAATTTACACATTCAGGAATGATATCCATTGTTTTACTTCATGTAAGTGTTCTTACTCCCTCTTTCATCAAGCTAATTCATGTTAGACAAATCTATTAGAAGAAAAAAAAAGATGTATACTAAATGCAATTGCCTTTCCATAACCAACTAAGCTAAAGCCAATAAAACAATGTTATGTTTATACTTCAGTGGTGGGATTCACATTTTTTTATGACTGGTTTGGTGGGAGTGGCTTGGTGGGCGTGGCATGGCTTGGTAGGCATGGCTTGGTGGATGTGGCAGGGGAAGGATACTGCAAAATCCCCATTTCCTCCCGATCTGCTGGGACTGGGGAGGCAGAGAATAGATGGAGGTGGGGCCAGTCAGAGGTGGTACTACTCAAAATTTCCGCTACTGGTTCTCAGAACACGTCAGAACCTGCTGAATACCACCTCTAATATGCTTTCATATATGCTACTTCTGCACTGAACATTTTTTTCTTCAGGGACCTCATTGACTGTTGAATGCGGTCCGTATCCAACCATATTAATTTATTTAAGGTGGTTGCCCTTCAGTAATGTATTTAATAATTTTCTTTTTCAGTTTCCCTAAAAATTGCAGTTTGGTAAAAACTTTGGAAGAGAGTCTGGGAAGTCGCCTTCACAGCCTTTGAGGAACTACACATAGTCTAAGAACCTCAGATTTTGTTCCTTAGAAAAATAGCAATTTTAGTTCTGTGCAATACACACACACACACACACACACACGTGTGTGTGTGTGTGTGT